TGTTTCACTTTTCCGTTTTCTCAATTTTTCTACATCACAGTTTTGGAATTTTTCATTTTCTCGATTCTTCAATTTTTAGGTTTTTAAAATTTTAGATTTTTCAGTTTCATTAATTTTTCGATTTATCGAGGTTTCGGTATTCCGTTTTTTTTTTTTCAATTTTTCGATTTTTTTAGTTTAAACTTGTCAAATTTTAATTTTTTGATTTTGTGTTATTTCGTTTTCTCCATTTTCCAATGTCTCAACTGTTCGATTTTTCAATTTTTCGCCTTTGCGATTTTCCAATTTTTTGATTTCTTATATTTTAGATTTTTGTATTTCTGTTTGTATTTTTGTTTGGTTTTCTCAAAATTTCGATTTCTCGGCTTTACGATTTTCCAATTTTTTAATGTTTCACTTTTTCGCTTTCTAAATTTTTCTAGTTTTGGGATACTTCAATTTTTCGATTCTTCAATTTTTTTTATTTAAAATTTCTCAAATTTTAATGTTTGCATTTTGGCTCATTTCGATTTCTCGATTTTTCAATTTCTCAACTTTTCGATTTCTGGATTTTTTGATTTTTCAACTTTTCTCCTTCGCGATTTTACCAATTTTTCGATTTCCTAATTTTTCTGTTAGTTTTGAGATTCCTCAATTTCTCGATTTTTCAGTTTTATTAATTTTTCGATTTATCGAGGTTTCGGTATTCCGGTTTTTTTTTCAATTTTTCGATTTTTTTAGTTTAAACTTGTCAAATTTTGATTTTTTTCTTTTGGGTTATTTCGATTTCTCGATTTTTCAATTTCCCAACTTATCGATTTTTCAACTTTTCACATTTGCAATTTTCCAATTTTTCGATTTCCCAATTTTTCTACGTTAGTTTTGAGACTTTTAAATGTTTCGATTTTACAGGTTTTTGATTTTTTAATTTTTTGATATTTTCGGATTCTTCAATTTTTTGATTTCCTAAATTTTAGATTTTTGGATTTGTTTTTTTTTTCATTTTTCAGTTGTGTGATTTTTAATTTTTTAGATTTTTAAATTTTACATTTTTTGATTTTTTAATTTTTAGGCTTTTAAATTTTTGGATTTTTCGATTTTATCAATTTTTCGATTTGTTATTTTACATTTTTCAAATTTTAATTTTTTGATATTGGGTTATTTCGATTTCTCCATTTTCCAATTTTTCAACTTTTCGATTTCTGGGTTTTTGGATTTTTCAACTTTTCGCCTTTGCGATTTTCCAATTTTTCGATTTCCCAATTTTTCTGTTAGTTTTGAGATTCTTCAATTTCTCGATTTTTCAATTTTTAGGTTTTTCATATTTTCGATTTTTCAGTTTTATTAATTTTTCGATTTATCGAGGTTTCGGTATTCCGCTTTTTTTTTCAATTTTTCGATTTTTTTAGTTTAAACTTGTCAAATTTTATTTTTTTTTCTTTTGGGTCATTTCGATTTCACGATTTTTCAATTTCCCAAATTTTCGATTTTTCAACTTTTCGCATTTGCAATTTTCCAATTTTTCGATTTCCCAATTTTTCTACGTTAGTTTTAAGACTTTTCAATGTTTCGATTTTTCAGGTTTTTAATTTTTAAATTTTTTGATATTTTCGGATTCTTCAATTTTTTGATTTCCTAAATTTTAGATTTTTGGATTTGGTTTTTTTTTTATTTTTCAGTTGTGTGATTTTTAATTTTTTCGATTTTTAAATTTTACATTTTTTGATTTTTTAGTTTTTTGGCTTTTAAATTTTTGGACTTTCCAATTTTATCAATTTTTCGATTTTGTATTTTACATTTTTCAAATTTTAATTTTTTGATATTGAGTTATTTGGATTTCTCCATTTTCCAATGTCTCAACTTTTCGATTTCTAGGTTTTTCGATTTTTCAACTTTTCGCCTTTGCGATTTTCCAATTTTTCGGCTTCGCAATTTTTCTGTTAGTTTCAATTTCTCGATTTTTCAATTTTTAGATTTCTCAAATTTCCGATTTTTCGATTTTTCAACTTTTCGCATTTGCAATTTTCCAATTTTTCGATTTCCCAATTTTTCTACGTTAGTTTTGAGACTTTTTAATGTTTCGATTTTTCAGGTTTTAATTTTTTGAAGTTTTCGGATTCTTCAATTTTTTTATTTCTTAATTTTTTTTTAATTTTTCAGTTGTGTGATTTTTAATTTTTTCGATTTTTAAATTTTATTTTTTTTATTTTTTAATTCTTAGGCTTTTAAATTTTTTAATTTTTCAGTTTTATCAATTTTTCGATTGTTTTAAATTTACGTTTTTCAAATTTGAATTTTGCGATTTTTCCATTTTGGACTATTGATTTATCGGTTTTTCTGTTTTCAACTTATCGGTTTTTTGATTTTCCAATTTTTTGATGTTTCAATTTTTCGATGTCCCAATTTTGTTACGTTTTTCTATTTCTTGATTTTTCAAATTTGAGTTACCTATTTGATTTCTCGATTTCACGGTTTTTTGCATTTTTGATTTTTCAATTTTACTTTTATTCAAAAAGTTGAAAAATCGAAAAACGCAAGAATCGGAAAAAACTAAAAAAACGAAAAATTACAAAATCGAAAAAGCGTAAAATCTAAAGATGGAAAATCGAAGAATTAAAGAAACGAAAAATTAAAAAAAAACTGAATAGCTAAAAATCAAGAAACTTAAAAAATCGAATCGAAAATTTGGAAAAACCCAAATTTGCAAAATCGGAAAATTGAAAGATTAAATATCCAGAAACTGAAAAATTAAAAATTGAAAAACTGAAAAATCGAATGAATGAAAAAGTTTTAAAATCATAATTATTGGTACATATTTCGATTTTTGAAAAAAAAAAAAATTAAAAATATAAAATTGAAAAATCGAAAAATTAAAAACCGAAAAATGGAAAAATGCAAAAATTGATAAATTTCACAATAAAAAAAAATTTATAAAATCAAGACACTGAAAAACGGATGAATTGAAAAAATAAAGAAAAAACCCAAAATACGAAAATTTGAAAAATGAAAAATTGAAACATTACAATTCGAAAATACATACTATAAAATCAGAACATCGAAAAATCGAAAACTTGAATAATAAAGCAAATAAAAAACCAAAATAAAAAATTAGAAACTCGAGAAATTTTAAATAAAAAAATTGCAAAATCTAAAAGTTGAAAAAACAAAAAAAATTAAAATATCAAAAATCACAAATCGAAAAATTGAAGAAACGACACACTGAAAAAATTGAAATTGAAACAACAAAAATTATAAAACCAAAATATGTATTGAAAAATCGAAAAATTGTAAAAATAGAAACTTGTGAATTCATTTATGGAGAAATTTCCAGAAGGAAAATTAAACTTTAATTCTTTTTATCTTAATCTTCTATATTTGGACGAAAGGATTTTAATTTTTTTTTTTTTTGCCCTATAAATGGCCTCAATAGCGTGTTCACAATTGGTGCACCCTGTATTTAAAATGAAAACTTGAAAAATTGCGAATCAAAAATTGGAGAAAAGAAAAATTGAAAAATGTAAAACTGAAAAAAACGAAAAATTATAAAATCAGAGCATTCAAAACCGGAAAATTTGAAAAAATAACGAAATTGAAAACCGAAACAAAAAATTGAAAAATCCAAAAATTGGAAAACTGAAAACTCGTGCAAATCGAAAAATTGCAAAATCTAAAAATTGAAACATCCAAAGTTGGAAAATAGAAAAACTGAAAAATTGCATACCGAAAAATTGAAGAAACGAAAAACTGAAAAAATTGAAATTGAAAAAACAAAAAATTATTAAATCGAAACATTTAAATATCGAAAAACTACGAAAATAAAACCAAAAAAAAATTAGTAAATGAAAAAATGAATTATTTCAAAAATTTATATTATTAAAACTGCAAACCAAAAATTGAAGAACAGAAAAATCGAAAAATCTAAAACTAAAAAAAGAAAAATGATGAAATTAAAACATTGAAAACCCGGAAAATTGAAAAAATAACGAAAATAAAAACCGAAACGAAAAAATGAGGAAATCAAAAACTTAAAAATCTAAAAATTGGAAAACTGAAAATTCGTGAAGTTGCCAATCAAAAAATTGCAAAAATCGAAAGTTGGAAAATTAAAAAACAAAAAAATTTAAACAAAAAAAACTCGAAAAAGTGCAAATCAAAAACTGAAGAACAAAAAAAAGGAAAAATTGAAGACTTGGAAATTCAACTCAAAAAAGTGTATTTGCACCCCTGATATTATTGTTAGAGAGCGGGATTTGTTGGATTATACTCAAAATCGTGGGAAATTCTGTCAAAATAACCTTAACAATTTTATTTTAGTACATACAATGTCAATATCCCAATCAAAAGAACAAAAATTTGTTGAGAAAAAGTGTCATAGACAAGTACTTCCTCTCGGTTGTTTTGATGATGTCACAGTATTTACGTTTAAATAAACACGACTTTGATTCCTTCTAGCGTTAATATTTTCAGTTCTCGTGCAAAAATGCACGCCTCAGGGACACTTTTATAACTTTCCGCCTAAATTTAATCAACCGGTTCTTATCTTCCCGAAAAAATAAAAATCGCCTCGCACGCGTGCGTTTTTAAAATCGCCTTAAATCCGCTGATTTTCCGATAAATTTAAAACCCCGCCGACACGTAAACGCCAGCAAACCGATAATCAATGCAGCCGTTACATTTTAAAGCGCACAATTATTTCACCTTGAATTTTACATGAGTTTGGCACATCGTTGACGAAAAGGTCAACAAATAAAAGAATAAGCTGATCAATACCATAAAAAGCCGCCTAATTACGAACAACAGAAAAATTACGCGCGCTGTGCTTTCTCAATTAAGTTTTAATTCAGGCTCTCTGGGTTAAATTATGCTTAATGGGTTACGACAGCAGATGCTTCGGAGAAAATTCACCGAATACAAACAATGGGCTATTTTGGGGAGGCAAGCGTGCAATTAGGCGCACGCAACTAATGAATCTGGAAAAGCGCGCTAATTGTCGGGGTTTGATTGTCCGAAAGGCCACTTACATCCCGTGTCCCTAAGGCGCTGGATATGCGAATTGACGATACGAACACAGCCTAGGAAGCCGCTTCCTTGCTTCTTGATCACCTTCCGGTGGTTCCATACTGAGATTGTGATGCTGTCGTTGCGACCGATGTACAAGTCGTAGTGCGAGTTCCATTTGGGTTCCAGGGTGTTCTTGATGAACTCCGTCGAGTGACACTGCCCACTTCCATCCACCGAGATCTTAGCAAAGGGGTCTGGAAGACCTGTCACAACACAACTGATTAACACGGGACTCGGCACTACGAGGGGCGAACTTACGGAACAGATCCTTCCGGACTAGATTCCTCGCGCAAAGAACTGCAAAAAAACGGGCATTTACTCCTTCGTTACATCACTATTTTGTAAACTTGGGAGGTCCCCCCAATGAGGCCATATTGTTTGACAGTTGGGGAATGTGGGTGCATGGGCGGGTTTCCGGCCGTTGGGTCAATGGGACTTTTACTTACTCGTCAATCGGATCTTCTGGGCACCGTTCCGACGACTCGATGGAGGGTTGGACATTTTTAAAATGTTTAATTGTTGTCACCACATTCATCTCACACACACAACGCCATTTTCCTTTTCGAGCGACTGAAGCGCCACCTGGCGGCCGGTCCGCACTGGCGCCAAATATTGTGAATATTAAATATTATCACTGAGAAAACAATAATAAATTATTAATTAATGGTCCGTGAACTCTGCAAACTGGAAGGGTAATCAACACAAATTTATAGATTGCGTGTGCTATTTTTAACGGGCCGATTATACAATGGACAGGGCCGGCCTCGCCCGCAATCGTCAATCGAACTAAAGTTGTGTCAAAAGCGGTAGTCGGGAAAACAGGACCAGACTGATATTATTTACGATTTATTGACGTATTCCAATTGCTTACATCACACTAGTAACTAAAACCTAAGCTGATTTTCGTTTGATTTGACACGATGGGCAGGACCGGACTGCTAAATTGCGTAGGGTATGTTGTTGCGGTCCAGGAGGGTTCTCAGTTCTTCTATAAGTTTCTCGTCTTGTTTTTTCGTGTGCACTGCACGGGTTTGTAAACAGTCCATCATTTTCTTGTACTTTCCTTCGAGACTGTTGAGGGCGCACTTTAGTTCCTCTTGTTTGGTGGCGGCGTTCCGGACTATAAGGTCAGCTCTTTGAGTCTGGAGCTGCATCTGGAAGAACAGACACTTTATTGGAACTCTTACATATTACATTTTTATTAAATTATCTTGCATAGATAAAATAAAAATAAACTCGCCGATCGATCTGGAATATTTTTAGCACGATAAGAGACTTATGTGGGGCTTAATTCATGTTCTGTGAGATCTTTAAATCAAAATTCTTAGAGAGAACTGAAACTTGATGGGAATCGAATTAAGGTTTATGTTATTTTTATTATTTATATATACTAGTGAGGGGTAACATGTTTCGGTACCTACTGGTACATACTTAATAACATAGAGTGACCACGTTAAGTAACATAAAAATAAAACAATAGTGTTTAAATAAGAAATACAAAAAAAAGACTAAAATTCTAAAATATACCGGGTGTCTGAAAAATGGCGGATTAAGATTTCAATACGTTATGTACAGGCGTTTCGGGAGTCCCCAAAATAAAATAATAAAAGCTAGTAGCTCCTAAGATAAGAATGATTTTGGCAAATGACATACCTTCCAAGAAAAGAGAGGGTGGGTGGGCGGGGCTACTCCTTCCGAAGATAAGACTACGTAGTATTTTTTTATGATTCTTTTTTGAGATATTTTTGGTGGCCTTTTTTTCTCAATTTTTTTCGTTTTTTTTTTTTGTGGTAATTTTTATCATATTTTAGTGATCTTTCTTGAGGTATTTTTGATGGTCTTTTCTTATTAAGTTTTTTTGACCAATTTTTTTTTCGATTTTTTTTCGGTATTTTTTTATCGTCCTTTTTGACATATTTTTGGTGGCCTTTTTTGTCATCTTATTTTTGTTGTTTTTTTGCGTCTTTTTTTTTGATCATTCTTTTAAAACATTTTTTGTTACCTTCTTTGTGACCTTTTTTGTTGAATTTTTGTTTATCATGATTTTTTTTGTCGCCTTTTTGTTGTTGTCACATTTTTTTTTTTTTACTTTTTTACGACCCTTTTTTTGCTCCTTTTGTTTGTTACTGTTTTCATCATGTGTTTTGTTGCGTTTTTTACAATTTTTAACTCATTTTTTTGTCTTTTGTAGTACCTTTTTTCGCTTTATCTTCAGGAGGAAGCCAAACTGATGGATGTAACTATAAAGTCGCGATCTTTTCTATAGAACCACTCCCTAGTGTAAATTTTCAAAATTTGTTTGGTGTAAGAGACCTTGACGGGTTTCTGGGGGAAAACATATGTGTCAAAAATTTGACAAGTTAGATGGCCTCATTGTCAATATGGATATTTTATTTTAATAAATAGATGAACAGAACATACAGTCTGCACGGGATACAGTGCGACATAGCTGAGGGCAACCGAAACATTCGTGTTGTGCTAGTTTCGATTGCCATATCAACTACCGCTACCAACCGCGTTCGGCGTAAAGTACTAGATGACAGGGCTACCAACTTGACTTTTTATCGAGTTGTTCCGTAGAAATGACCGCTACTGTATAGTATATAATATATATAAACTTACATCCAGCAACTTAAATTTCAAAATTTTTAATTGTTTAGAAGCCCAAATTTAAACCTTACATCATAACATACACATTACTGGTCTGGAAAGGGTCCAGGTGGGTGGCCGGGGGTAGTACTTGCTAAAATAAGACTGATTTTGGCAAATGACATACCCTCGAAGGAAATAAAGGGCGGGTGGGCGGGGCTAGTCCTTCCCAAGGTATGACTACGGAGTATTTTTTTTACATCCTTTTTTGAAATATTTTTTGTGGTCTTTTTTTCTAAATTTTTGTTCGTTTTTTTGTGGTAATTATTATTATCATATTTTAGTGATCTGTTTTGAGGTATTTTGATGGCCTTTTTTTTATTTTCAATTTTTTTCGGTATTTTTTGTCGCGTTTTTCGTCACATTTTTGGTTGCCATTTTTGTCATCTTATTTTTGTTCTTGTTTTATCATGGTTTTTTGTTGCTTTTTTTGAATCATTTTTTAACACATTTTTTATTACCATTTTGTTGCCTTTTCTTTGTCGCTTTTTTGTGGTGTTATTTGCCGCTTTATTGCTATCTTTTTCTGGCCGTTCTTTGTCTTTATATAATTTTTGTGACCTTTTTTATCGAATTTTTGTTTATCATCCTTTTTTTATCGCCTTTTTTTTTTGTTTCGACATTTTTTCTTTATTTTTATTTTTATTATTATTTTTAAATATTTAGAAGCCCAAATTTAAACCTTACATCATAATAGATTACACGTACACACTACTGTTCTGGAAAAGGATCCAGGTGGGTGGGCGGGGCTAGTAGCTATTAAGATAAGGCTGATTTTGGCTAATGAGATACCCTCTAAGAAAAGAGAGGGTGGGTGGGCGGGCCTAGTACCTGCTAAGATAAGGCTGATTTCGTCAAATTACATACCCTCTAAGAAACGAGAGGGTGGGTGGGCGGGGCTAATTCCTGCTAAGACAAGACTGATTTTGACAAATGACATACCTTCCACGAAAAGAGAGGGTGGGTGGGCGGGGCTACTACCTGCAAGGCTCATTTTAGCAAATAAGATACTATCTAAGAAAAGAGAGGGCGGGTGGGCGGGGCTACTACCTGTTAAGATAAAAATTATTTTGGCAAATGACATATCCTCAACAAAAAAATCGTTAAACATAGACAACCATGTGTACGTTGGCGCTTTTTGGGTAGTGGGTAGTAGCGGAAATAAGTGAATTTTCGAACGACGCTAACACGTGTAAATTTGATTCATTATTTGTAAATTCACAGTTCGTGTTAGGATTTTAATCGTTAATAAGAAATTTTTTAAGATATTTTTGGTGGTCTTTTTTTCTCACTTTTTGTTAATTTTTTTGTTGTGGTAAATTTTATCATACTTTTGTGACCTTTCTTGAGGTATTTTTGATGAACTTTTTTTATCAAGTTTTTTTGACCAATTTTTTTTATCGATTTTTTTTTCGGTATTTTTTGTCGTCTTTTTATTATCGCCTTTTTTGTCACATTTTTTTGTTTCTTTTCTGTGATTTGACGCATTTTTGGTGACTTTTTTTGTCATCTTATTTTTGTTCTCGTTTTTATAGTGCTCTTTGTTGCGTTTTTTTCTGGATTATTCTTTCAATACATTTTGTGTCTCCTTCTTTGTGTTTTCTTTACTTTGTCGCTTTTTTGTAGTGTTAATTGCCACTTTATTGCTACCTTTTTTTGGCCGTTTTTTGTGTTTTTTTTATCATACTTTTGTGACCTTTTTTTTCGAATTTTTGTTTATACTCCTTTTTTATCGCCCTTTTTTTGTTGTTACATTTGTTCTTTATTGTTTGCGACCCTCTTTTGTCGCCTTTTTTTATTACTGTTTTTATCATCAGTTCTGTTGCGTTTTTTACTATTTTTAACACATTTTTCAAGTTTTTTGGCTTTATTTTGAGTAGGAAGCCAAAGTGCTTGATGTAGCTATCTTTTTAAACATATAAACATGTATAAACTTACACCCAGCAACTTAAATTTCAACATTTTTAATTATTTAGAAGCCCAAATTTAAACCTTACATCATAATAGATTACACGTACAGATTACTGTTCAGGGTCTAGGTGGGTGGGCGGAGCTAGTAGCTGTTACGATAAGGTTGATTTTGGTTAATGAGATACCCTCTAAGAAAAGAGAGGGTGAGTGGGCTGGCCTAGTACCTGCTAAGATAAGGCTGATTTTGGCAAATTACATACTCTCTAAGAAAAGAGAGGGTGGGTGGGCGGAGCTAGGTCCTGCTAAGATAAGACTGATTTTGGCAAATGACATACCTTCCAAGAAAAGAGAGGGTGGGTGGGCGATGTTAATACCTGCTAAGATAAGATTAACTTTGGCAAATGACATACCTTCTAAGAAAATAAAGGGCGGGTGGGCGGGGCTAGTACTCGTCAAGATAAGACTACGTAGTATTTTTTTATGATACTTTTTTGAGATACTTTTAGTGTTTTTTCTTCTCAGTTTTTGTTCTTATGTTTTGTGGTAGTTTTTATCATATTTTTGTGACCTTTCTTGAGGTATTTTTGATGACTTTTTTTATCAAGTTTTTTTGACCAATCATTTTTTTGTTTCTTTTTTGTAATCATTTTTGGTGTTTTTTTTGTCATCTTATTTTTATTCTCGTTTTTATAGTCTTCTTTTTTGCTTTTTTTTCTGGATCAATCGTTTAATACATTTTTTGCCACCTTCTTTGTTATCTTTTCTTCGTTGTTTTTTTGTAGTGTTAATTGCCACTTTATTGCTACCTTTTTTGGCCGTTTTGTGTCGTTTTTTTTTATCACAAATCACATATCCTCTAAGAAATTTAATTAAATTATTATACATAAAAGACACTAGAGGCTCCAAAGCACTTTCAAATTATTTCTAAACAGCAATACCTAGAACCTCAAGATTTTTCAAAAAAAAAACATGGTCCCAAAATTAACTCAACAAAAGCTAGGTCAGAATTTTACAAAAGTAGAACACCAAAGTGCCCTAAAATTCTTTTAAATTATTTACAAAAAAATCTCCATGGGTTCCCAAAATAAGACACCATAGGTACCCAAAAAGATGTATTTATGCATAAAACTGGAACTTTTTTAAATTTCTAAGCTCCTGAAAACAGTTTTTGTGTGTTCAACATCATCGAATCTCTTGAAAATCCTCACCCTAACAAAATAACGTAGTTTAAAGGCCCCTGTCATATTAAATATTTGTTAGTAGTACAATTTAATTAAATAATAATGTCTTTATTAAAGTCAAAATATTGTGGTGACCGAATTTGAATTAAAAAATCGCGCTGAAAGAAATTAACAGCGGCGCGAAATCGCATTCGAATAATTTGAATTTGAAAAAAAATTCAACAAAAAAATCGTTGAACATAGGCAACCATGTGTACGCTGGCGCTTTTTGGGTAGTGGGTAGTAGCGGAAATAAGTGAATTTTCGACCGACGCTAATACGTGTAAATTTGATTCATTGTTTGTAAATTCACAGTTCATGTTAGGATGTTAATCGTTAACTGATTCTAACAGAAGCCTAACCGTCAAAGATTGTTCCGATAAAGTATTTGCTAGAAGATTTTTTTGATAACCAAATTACGAACAACGTTGCTGGAAATTAACCTAACGTTGCCCCACTGTTGCCTGTTCACGATATAAACTCTCAAAACCAATTGTTATAAGTAACCAATCACTTAGATCATGGCATAATATAACATCATATAAATTCTTCGTTTGAATCGTTGATAAAGTGTGGCATAATTTAACATAATGTAAACTCTTTGTTTGAATCGTTGATAAAGTGCGGCAAATATTAAACTCGCGTAATTTTGTTAGCTTTGCAATTTTTCACCTCATACAATTTTTTGTCTGCACAAGTTTTACTTCACACCAGATATTTTTTGTTTTTACAAATCTTTGCTAGTTTTTTTCCATGTAAATATTTTGTTGATGAATGTTTCCACCACATAAATTATCTGATGTCTAATCTTAATCTCACATAAGAATTATTTACTTTTTGAATTTCCCAAGAGTGTATGGCGAACTCAAATGTTGTTTACTGCTCCTTTTGAAACTTTGACACTTGTTCACTTGTAGTTTAATATCAGAGTCATAGAAATTGAACATTTAAATGGAATTGAGGTTAAATAACACCGAAATACGTGGCAGAAGCGGAGGGCGCGGTTCCTAGTCGAGCTGGCGGACTTTACACTGTATGCACTTACCTGATTGGTCATATCCTTAACTTCCAATTCCTGTTTGAGTCTTTCAATTTTTTTAATGTAATCCTTTTCATTTTTATGTAAGACTTTATCCAGTTTGGAAATGCAGCGTTTTAGACTGATTATCTGTTCGCCGCTGCCTTCGTTTGCGATTTGATTTGCTTTCATTTTTAATTGGATCTGCAATCTACACCAATAATGAATCAAATTTTTCAAAAACTACTTCTTATAGCATAATCTGCATCGTCGCCATCTTGAATTGTTTGCAGTTAAAAAAAATACGTGATTAATACGTCTGTAACACTCAACATGGCGACGTATAACTCTTACAAGATACCTACTCTTGAATTTCCTCATCTTTCTGTTTCGCTGCATCAAAACTCGAGTTCACGAGCACCTTAATCTTATCCTCGTACTCTTTTTTAAGAACTGCAATCCGAGCTTCCAACTCCGCTACCTGACTGTTGTGCGTCTTCTCCAAAGCGGCGATTTCTTTCTTGTGGTACTGCTTCAAGTAGTCTACCTCTTTCTGCCTCAAAAGAGTAAACTTGTCCTTAAAATCGCTCATTTCCTACAATCTTAACATTTAACCCCGACACAGCACCAACCAACTCCAACCTTGCTCTTAGTCTGATCCACCTGCACGAACTCCTTCTCCTGCGAATCCAGCTGCCCCCGAAGCTCGGCATTTTCCTGCTCCAACCGCGCCACTTTCGCGTTCAGAGCATCGACGGTCTTCTTCCTATCTTCGGTCAAACAGTGCGTATCAATCAGAGCGTGTTTAACTTCAAGCAAATCCTGAAAGAAAACCGTTATTAATTGCAGGAACTTCTCCAAGAACAACCCTCATTCTCAATTTCAGTGCCTCAATTTCTTGTTCCGTGACTCTGGGGCCTTTGTCTAAATCTTGAGCAACTTGTTGGTCTTCGACCATCAACTGGTTGTCTTTGATTGTGGACTCCACGGTGTGCAATTCTTGCTTTTTCTTCACGCATTCTTTGTTGCACTGTCGCACGACTGGTTGATTTTTGGCCTCCACGCACTTTCTTTTGGCTTTATCTTCGCAGATGCTCTTAAAGGGTGGTTTTGGTTTATGCGTGCAACCTACCCCTTGGAAGGGACTGTCCTTCAGCGTTTGTTTGCTTTGCTCTTCGTACTTCTTCATGTAGTGCTCTTGCAGTTTCAGCCCTTCTGCTTTATGCTGCAGACTTAACTTCTTGGTTTCTTCTTCTGCGTCTGTGTCTCCGGGGGTGTCGCTGATGTCGTACCACGAGTCTTCTTTGAGCCACGCGTCTTGTGCGGTGTTGCCACCTTTGTTTAGTTTTTTTGGCAAAGGTGGTACTTTCGGGGTACATCTAGCCGGTTTTTTCTTTTGGAGTAGAGTGTTTTCTTTGGGAGGGGTACGCTTGACGCTCTCTGCAGAGTCGGGGCATTTCTGGGTGACGAATGGCCAGGCTTGGGTTTCTTTCGGGCGAGGACACCCACACCCACGTGGTGTCTCTTTGCCCCCCATCATTGTTTGTAGTTTCTTCAGCGGCGGCAACAACCCCTTAGGTGGCGTGGCTGTGAACGGTACTTCCAGCACACCGTCGTGGATCTGATTGGCCAGAGCCAGAAGGTACTTGTTTCTTTCTAACCTCTCCGAGCGGTGTACGACGCTGAGACGCTCCAGCCATACTCTGCATTTTTCTAAACGATAATGGTCGTCTATTTTACCGACTAGGGGTTTGATCATGTATAAGATATGGCGGAATTCGGCATCCAGCAGGTCGCTGTGTGCCTCATCGTTCATCGTTGCGTCCAACGATTCCGTAGGATTTGTTCTGTTAACAAAAATATTGTTTCAGGCTTGCGCCACGAGTGCTGAAACACGGGGACATCGAAATGAGCAACATTTGACACTTCGAATTTTATGACTGACTTGGCGTGACTTGATCCAATCACGAACGTATCAGAAGAGACAAAATATAAAACGTTTATTTCAACAAATACTACACTTTTTACACAAAATAAAGCTTATTTTCTAGATATCACAAGTCTTGTGGGGTGTGGGGAATCAGATGTTTAGTCTTCTTTGTCCGCGGACGCGGCAGCCTAGGGAGAGCTGGGTCTCGCAGTCGCTCTTGATTTGCTTGAGGTGCTCCTTGATGGGGTCGATGAGGGTGCCCAGGAGCTCCTCGATGGTGTGCGGGTAGTAGATAAGCTCCAAGTGGCCTCTCAGGTACGTTTCCAGGGACAGGAGTTCATTTAACAAGCTGGAGGAGGGAAGTTAGTTCAATCTGGATTGATAGTGTGGGGAACTTACTCCACAATCACTGGGAGAATAGTGTCAACTTGCATTGGATTGGTGTAGTTGTTCAGGACCTGCCACTGGTTGAACCAGGAATGCATTCTATAATAAAAATTGGGAACACAATTACATTTTAAGTGTCAAAATCGAATCTCAAAAGTGACAGGTGATGCAAAAATAACCTAAAGCTGTGTGCAAAATGTAAAATTAACAAACAAACCCTGATATGATAAATTTGTACTTTTGTGTTGCAGGATTTTAATTTTACCACTTTAGGAAAGTATACTCTAAAGGTCCGAGAGATGTTGCCCCCTGGTGGTGAGTTACGAAAATATCGGTAAAGGTCGAAGATCGTAGTGGAAGTGTTCTACAGGTCTCTGTTACTTTTTAAATAAAATTAAATATTTTAAATTTAAATATTTACTAAAAACCCCGCCCACCCACCCCTCTTTCATTTCAACGATCCATTTTATCTGGTCTGAATGAAAGGTGGATCTTATACTGAACAGAAATAAAATCGTTAGAATGAGAACAATGCGGGTGGGCGGGGGTAGTACTTGCTAAGATAACACTGACATTGGCAAATGATAGTTCTTCTAAGAAAACAGAGGGCGGGTGGGCGGGGCTAGTACTTGCTAAGATAAGACTGATTTTGGCAAATGACATTACTTATGAAAATAATGGGTGGGTGGGCGGGGCTAGTACTTGCTAAGATGAGACTGATTTTGGCAAATTATTAACAAAAAGAAATATTTAAATTTATCATGGGTAGATTTTAAATGGGAAGTGGTGTTTTTTTATCAAACTGACTTACTGAGAAATCGAATAAACTGACGAATATTGGCTATTTGAAAATAAAACAAGACGAAACCTCAGAATGAAATATACTATATTCATTTTTTCGAATTTTCAAATTTTAGATTTTTTAAATCATCACATTTGATGATAAAATAAAAATTGTCGTAATAACATCGACTTACTCAAAATAATATTCAGAACGTTTTGCTGCATTGTAGTTTAATTAATAATTTTAACCGCTTAATTAAATTAATTCGCTGTGTGCTTAATTGTCGCATTTTTTCGATGTATGAACATAAACAATTGAAGTTAAGCATGTACTGTAAATCTATTTTTACTTCAGAGGCGAGAGAAAATCTGTCTAAATAACTTTAGACCAATTTTTGCGTTTAAAAGAGAAAGTTTGCAGGCGCCTAGTGTTTTTTTTAATTATAAAAAAATTTTCGGGGCCTCTTGTGTTTTGTTTTTAAAATAAATAAATTTTACTGAATCTTAGGAGCTCCTAGCATTTTTTTTTAATATAATGATGTTTCGTTTTTGAAGGAGAGATCAAAATATGTATTGTCAAAACCGAAAAATTGAAAAATCAAGAATTTTATAAATCTAAAAAATCCAAAAATCCGAAAATTAAAATATGGAATAACTGAAAATGTTGAAAAATGTAAGATTTAAAAACTCGCAAAATTTTGAAAAATCGAGTAAGTAAAAAACCAAAACAACAGAAAGTCGAATAATTGAGAAATCGAGAAATCGGAAAATACAAAAATCTTGAAACGCCAAAAATTGAAAATTGAAAAATCGAAAAATTTAAATACATACATCCCAAAACTGAAACGTTGAAAATTGGAAAATCGAAAAATCCATAAGATAAAATATTTCAAAAATCCAAACATCAAAAGATTGAAAAGTGTTAGATTGAAAAAATCGCAAAATTTTGAAAAAATGAATAAGTAAAAAATCGAACAAAGAAATGCGAAAAATCTAAAAATTTAAAAATCGAAATACATATTGAAAAATCCCAAAACATTGAAAATTTGAAAATCGAAAAGTTGACAAATCAAAAAATGGGAAGACGAAAAATCAAAAAGTTGAAAAATTAAAAAATCTATTAATCGAGAATTGGGAAATCGAAAAATACAAAAATTTAGATACTCCAAAAATTGAAAAATTGAAAAATCGAAAAATTTAAATACATAAACCCAAAACTGAAACGTTGAAAAATTGGAAAATCGAAAAATCTAAAAGATGAGTTATCGAAAACCTGAAAAATTGAGAAATCGAAATTGAAAAATTGAAAAATCGCCGAAATCAAAGCAACAAAAGATTGACAAGTCGAGAAGTCGCAAAATCGAAAAAGTGGCTAAAATTCGAAAAATGGGAAAATTCAAAATTGACAAATTTTAACTTAACAAAACCGATAAACCAAAAAGTGAAAAATCGAAACATCGAAAAACTGAAAAATTAATTCCGAAAAATTGAAAAATCGAAAAACTTAATTACATAAATCCCAAAACTGAAAAATTGGAAACTCGAATAATCGAAAAGGCGAATAGTCAAAAAACTGGGAAATCGAGAAATTCAAAAAATGCGACATCGAAACATCAAAAGATCGATAAGTTCAAAAGTCGAAAAATCGAAAAATTGATATATCGAAATGGGGAAAGATCGAGAAACGGGAAAATCCAAATTGAAAAATTTAAACTTAAAAAACCCGATAAATCGATAAATCGAAAAATGTGAGATTTAAAAAATCGCAAAATTTTGAAAATTCGAATAAGTAAAAAACCAAAAAAAAAAAAACCAGAAAGGCAAAAATTTAAAAATCGAAACACATATTGAAAAATCCCAAATCTTAAACATTGAAAATTTGAAAATAGAAAAGTTGAGAAATCGAAAAGTCAAAAAATTAAAAACACGATTAATCGGGAAATTGGGAAATCGAAAAATTGAAAGATTTAGAAACTCCAAAAATGAAAAATCGGAAAATTTAAATACATAAATCCCAAAACTGAAACGTTGAAAAATGGAAAATCGAAAAATGTAAAATGTGAATTATTGAAAACCTGAAAAATCAAGAAATCGAAATCGAAAAATTGAAAATCGCGAAATCGAAACATCAAAAGATTGAGAAGTCGAGAAGTTGAAAAATCGAAAAATTAAGAACTTGAAGTGTAAAATTCGAAAAATGGGAAAATTCAAAATTGAAAAATTTTAACTTTTTAAAAAAAACGATAAACCAAAAAGTGAAAAATCGAAACATCAAAAAACTGAAAAATTAATTTAGAAAAATTGAAAAATCGAAAAACTAAAATCGAGAATAGAATAGTCAAAAAATTGAGAAATTGGGAAATTCAAAAAATGCGAAATCGAAACATCAAAAGATCGATAAGTCGAGAAGTCAAAAAATCGACAAATTGAGATATCGAAATAGCTAAAGCACGAGAAACGGGAAGAATCAAAAATTGAAAAATTTAAACTCAAAAAACCCGATAAATCGAAAAATGTGAGTTTTCAAAAATCGCAAAATTTTGAAAAATCGATAAGTAAAAAAACAAAAGAAAACAGAAAGGCGAAAAATCTAAAAATTTAAAAATCGAAAAGTTGAGAAATCGGGAAATCGGCAAGACGAAAAATTGAAAAGTCGAAAAATTAAAAAATCGATTAAACGAGAAATTGGGAAATCGAAACATCCAAAAATTTAGAAACTCCAAAAACTGAAAAATCGAAAAATTTTAATACATAAATCCTAAAACTGAAACGTTGAAAAGTTGGAAAATCGAAAAATCTAAAAGATGAATTAATTATCGAAAAACTGAAAAATCGAGAAATCGAAATCGAAAAATCGAAAAAGTGGCTACAATTCGAAAAATGGGAAAGTTCAAAATTGACAAATTTTAACTTATAAAAACCAATAAACCAAAAAGTGAAAAATCGAAACATCGAAAAACTGGAAAATTAATTCCGAAAAATTGAAAAACTGGAAAATCTAAAAACTAGAAGGCGAAAAATCGAAAGAAAACCGTTAAATCGAAAATTGAAATCTAAATATCGAAAAACTGGAAAATTAATGCCGAAAAATTGAAAAATCAAAAATATCTATCAAATTTTAATAGTTTATTGATTTAATTTAATGTGTTTGACTTGTGTAAAACTGTATTTGTAGTTTTGAACACCAATAAAGTATTGATTGATCTAAAAACGAGACGGCAAAAAATTGAAAGATTGAGAAATCGAAACATCCAAAAATTTGGGAACTCCAAAAATTGAAAAATTGAAAATCGAAAAATTTAAATAAACAAACCCAAAACTGAAACGTTGAAAAGTTGGAAAATCGAAAAATCTAAAACATGAATTATCGAAAACTTGAAAAATCGAGAAATCGAAATTGAAAAATCGCGAAATCAAAACAAAAGATTGAGAAGTCGAGAAGTCGAAAAAACGAAAAAGTGGCTAAAATTCGAAAAATGGGAAAATCCAAAATTGAAAAATTTTAACTTAAAAAAACCGATAAACCAAAAAGTGAAAAATCGAAATATCGAAAAACTGAAAAATTAATTCCGAAAAATTGAAAAACCGAAAAATCTGAAAACGAGAAGGCGAAAAATCGAAAAAAAAACGTTAAATCAAAAATTGAAATCAAAGTATCGAAAAACTGAAAAATTAATTTCAAAAAATTGAAAAATCAAAAAAATCTAAAAACGAGAACGCAAAAAAAATGACAGATTGAGAAATCGAAACAACAAAAATTAATTCCGAAAAATTGAAAAATCGAAAAATTTAAATACATAAATCCCAAAACTGAAAAATTGGAAACTCGAATAATCGAAAAGGCGAATAGCCAAAAAACTGAGAAATCGAGAAGTTCAAAAAATCCGAAATCGAAACGTCAAAAGATCCATAAGTCGAGAAGTCGAAAAATTGAAAAATTGAGATATCGAAATAGCTAAAGATCGGGAAACGGGAAAATTCAAAATTGAAAAATTTTAACTTAAAAAACCGAAAAATCGAAAAATGTAAGATTTAAAAAATCGCAAAATTTTGAAAAATCGAATAAGTAAAAAATAAAAAAAAAACCGAAAGGTGAAAAATCTAAAAATTTAGAAATCGAAGTACACATTGAAAAATCCCAAAACTTAAACATTGAAAATTTGAAAAAAGATGAATTATCGAAAAACTGAAAAAGCGAGAAAGCGAAATCGAAAAATTGAAAAATCGCGAAATCGAAACATCAAAATATTGAGAAGTCGAGAAGTCGAAAAATCGAAAAATTAAGAACTCGGAGTGGCTAAAATTCCAACAAGGGGAAAATTCAAATTGACAAATTTTAACTTAAAAAAACCGATAAACTAAAAAATGAAAAATCGAAACATCGAAAAACGGAAAAACCGAAAAATCTGAAAACGAGAAGGCGAGAAATCGAAAGAAAACCGTTCATCGAAAATTGAAAAATCGAAATATCGAAAAACTGATAAATTAATTCCTAAAAATTGAAAAATCAAAAAAACTCAAAAAACGAGAAGATTAAGAAATGGAAATACCAAAAAAAGTGAAAAATCTAAAATTTAAAAATTCGAAAAAGTGAAAATTTAAAATATCGAGCAATCAAAATATTAACAAATCGAAAACACAAAAACCTGAAAAATCGAACAAGTAAAAAATCAGAACAGAAAGTCGAAAAATCGAAAAACCCAAAAATCAAAATCTTGAAAAATCCCAAAACTTAAACATAGAAATCCAAAAATTGAGAAATCGAAAAATCGATTAATCGAGAAATTGAGAAATCGAATAATACAAAAATTTAGAAATGCCAAAAATTGAAAAATTTGAAAAATTGGAAAATCGAAAACAAGAATTATCGAAAAACTGAAAAATCGAAATCGAAGAACTGAAAAATCGAAATCGAAAAATCGTGAAATCGAAACATCAAAAGACTGAGAAGTCGAGAAGTTGAAAAATCGAAAAATTAAGAACTGGAAGTGGCTAAAATTCGAACAATGGGAAAATTCAAAATTGACAAATTTTAACTTAAAAAAAACCGATAAACCAAAAAGTGAAAAATCGAAACATCAAAAAACTGAAAAATTAATTACGAAAAATTGAAAAATCAAAAAAAAATCTAAAAACGAGAAGGCAAAAAATTGAAAGATTGAGAAATCGAAATGCCAAAAAAATGAAAAATTTAAAATTTAAAAATTCGAAAAAAAAAATTTTAAATATCGAGCAATCAAAACATTAACAAATCGAAAACTCAAAAAACTGAAAAATCGAACAAGTAAAAAATCAGAACAATAGACAGTCGAAAAATCTAAAAACTTGAACTAGAAATCGAAAAATTGAGAAATCGAAAAATTAAAAAATCGCGAAACCGAAACATCAAAAGATTGACAAGTCGAGAAGTCGAAAAATCGAAAAATTAAGAACTGGAAGTGGCTAAAATTTGAAAAATGGGAAAATTCAAAATTGAAAAATTTTAACTTCAAAAAACCGATAAACCAAAAAGTGAAAAATCGCCACATCGAGAAACTGAAAAATTAATTCCGAAAATTGAAAAACCCAAAAAATTTAGAAACGAGAAGGCGAAAAGTGGAAAGAAAACCGTTAAATCGAAAATTGATATCTAAATATCGAAAAATTGAAAAATCAAAAAATCTAAAAACTAGGACGCAAAAATTTGAAAGATTGAAAAATAGAAACAACAAAAATTAATTCCGAAAAATTGAAAAAGAAAAATTTAATTACATAAATCCCAAAACTGAAAAATTGGAAACTCGAATAATTAATCAAAAAACTGAAAAATTGAGAAATTAAAAAAATGCGAAATCGAAACGTCAAAAGATCCATAAGTCGAGAAGTGGAAAAATCGAAAAATTGAGATATCGAAATAGCTAAAGATCGAGAAACGGGAAAAATTCAAAATTGAAAAATTTAAACTTAAAAAAACCGATAAATCTAAAAATTTAAAAATCGAAAAATGTGAGATTTAAAAAATCGCAAAATTTTGAAAAATCGTATAAGTAAAAAATCAAAAAAAAACAGAAAGGCGAAAAATCTAAAAATTTAAAAACCGAAATACGTATTGAAAAATCCCAAAACTTAAGCATTGAAAATTTGAAAATCGAAAAGTTGAGAAATCGAGAAACCGGAAAGACAAAAAATCAAAAAGTCGAAAAATTAAAAAATCGATTAATGGAGAAATTGGAAAATCTAAAAATCCAAAAATTTAGAAACCCCAAAAATTGAAAAATTGAAAAATCGAAAAATTTGAATACATAAATCCTAAAACTGAAACGTTGAAAAGTTGGAAAATCGAAAAATGTAAAAATCAAAATCTTGAAAAATTCCAAAACTTAAACATAGAAATCCAAAAATTGAGAAATCGAAAAATCGATTAATCGAGAAATTGAGAAATCGAATAATACAAAAATTTAGAAACGCCAAAAATTGAAAAATTGAAAAATTGGAAAATCGAAAACAAGAATTATCGAAAAACTGAAAAATCGAAATCGAAGAACTGAAAAATCGAAATCGAAAAATCGTGAAATCGAAACATCAAAAGATTGAGATGTGGAGAAGTTGAAAAATCGAAAAATTAAGAACTGGAAGTGAAAAATTTTAACTTAAAAAAACCGATAAACCAAAAAGTGAAAAATCAACACATCGAGAAACTGAAAAATTAATTCCGAAAATTGAAAAACCGAAAAATCTAGAAACGAGAAGGCGAAAAGTCGAAAGAAAACCGTTAAATCGAAAATTGATATCTAAATATCGAAAAATTGAAAAATCAAAAAAATCTAAAAACGAGAACGCAAAAAATTGAAAGATTGAAAAATCGAAACAACAAAAATTAATTCCGAAAAATTGAAAAATCGAAAAATTTAAATACATAAATCCCAAAACTGAAAAATTGGAAACTCGAATAATCAAAAAACTGAGAAATCGAGAAATTGAAAAAACGCGAAATCGAAAAATCAAACGATCGAAAAATAGAAATATCGAAATAGCTTAAGATTGAGAAACGGGACAATTTAAACTTAAGAAACCCGATAAATCGAAAAATTGAAAAATCGGAAAATGTAAGACTTAAAAAATTGAAAAATCTAAAAAATCAAAAAAACAGAAAGGCGAAAAATCTAAAAATTTAAAAATCGAAATGCATATTGAAAAATTCTAAAATTCGGAAAAACGTAAAATCGAAAAGTCTAAAATTAAAAAATCGATTAATGGAGAAATTGGGAAATCGAAAAATCCAAAAATTTAGAAACGCCAAAAATTGAAAAATCGAAATATTTAAATAAATAAACCCAGAACTGAAACGTTGAAAAATTGGAAAATCGAAAAAACCTGACAAATCAAGAAATCGAAAAATTGAAAAATCGCGAAATCGAAACATCAAAAGATTGAGAAGTCGAGAAGTCAAAAAATCGAAAAAGTGAAAATTTAAAATATCGAGCACTCAAAACATCAACAAATCGAAAAATCAAAAACTGAAAAATCGAATAAGTAAAAAATCAAAAACACGAAAAGTCGAAAAATCGAAAATTTAAAAGTCGAAGTATTTAAAGGTCCCAAAATTGAAATAGTTAGACAGCAGATACATAAGATAATTTTTATATATTTCAATCCGAAGTTTCGTTTTGTTTTATAATAGAATTCTTTTTTGGCAAGATATCGTAAAACTGTACCAATTGCAACATCTGGTTTGTTCTATTTTTTAGAAGATCTATCATTTGCCAATATCCGTCTTATCTTAGCAAGTACTAGTCCCACCCACCCGCCGCATTCTCATTATAACAATTTTATTTCTGTTCAGTATAAGATCCACCTTTTATTCAGACCAGATATATTGAATCACGGAAATGACCATTGAAAATGTCGGTAGTTAGCAGTGAGAGTATTAGGCTTCTCCGCCTCCTCTTTGCGGGTTTCCATAATCGCATAAACACTTAGGTATATAAAAAAGTGAACAATGACTAAAATATAATGACGCATGCGCTTAACAATCATGGGCGGAGCTACTTACTGATCACTGTCTATAATGCTCTTGTACTTGGTCCTCAAATTAACAAACCACTCCATCCCCACGAAAATCTGCCACCCCGGAAAACTCAATTGGGGTAAAACCGGGGACTTAATAGGACTCCCAAAATTCGTTGTATTATCGTTGTAGCCCAACATCTTCCCCACAGAACTACAAAAAACCAAATAACTTTAAAATACAAAGAACGTAAACATACTTGTGCAACTCTTGATTATAACCCCCATTTAGCCAGCTCTTCATACACAACGACAAAGACGGAATTGCTGACGGTAATAATTCACACAGAGTGGCATAATGGTCATACCTTCAACAACACTTAGATAAAAAAATATTCAAAAAACACACAGGTGTACCTAGACCACCCCGTTAAGGCAATCCCTTTAAAGTGCATAATTTTCCCAGCGTGCAGCCCCAACTCGCTCAACCAAGCTTCATGATTACTAACGTGATACTTGTTAACTGGAAGGATTTGGCTACTGGTGGTGGCCCCCTTGAAGGCAGAGGCCGCCCACACGTTCGAAAAAACGTTGCCGTATTTCTCCCACACGGGGGCCCCCAGGTGGAAGGTTTCAGCTGAATTGTAGTGCCAGATCATAGGCTCAACCAGCGTCCCCAAGTAATACTCTACAACACCCTGATTACTCTAGTCACACCGGCACCCCGGCTTACCCTGCAAAATGTGGATATCAATACTCCTCAACATGTCATCCCAAATGATTATTTTTAAATTGGGGTAGTTTTCTTTAATGTATTGTGCGACGGCCGTCACGTAGTCTAAATAAAGTCCAGGCTTTCCGTATTTACCAGTATTCACACGTTTGGAGCACGTGGAGCACAACCCCATATACCAAACCTTCAACAATTAAAACACAAACTTAAACAATTACCATTGTTATGGAAACTACTTCATCTGCTCCTATGTGTATGTACTGGATACCAGGATGAAACGCAATAATTTGCTTGAGTATGCTACGCACTAAAGCCATGGTTTCGCTGTTGCTGGGGCACATCGAACTCGGGTATGCCTCCACTTCGCGCAAATTACGCCACTGCTCGTGCTTCAGGACGTACTCCATATGGCCGAAAATTTGTACAAGGGGTACGACACTCAGTTCGAAATCTGCAGCTAATTTTAATATGAAACGAGACATACTTAAAACGCTCTAGTTTTACCCATATCAAGTAATTGGCGTGCTTCCTCTATCGAATACGGAGCCCCGCTGACCTGGGCACTGTTTGAAAGGCCGCCGATAGGCAATAATTCGCGCGTATACGGAAACGTGTCCTCCCATTCTATCAAAATTCCCGTGGCCCCAAGTTCTTTGATCAAAGGAAAAAACTGAAATTTGAAATTGACGTTTGTCAAAAAAGTGAGGTTAGGGGAATTGTGTCAGTAAACTAACTCACTTTTTCAAAGTAGCATAGTTTCGGAGGGGCCCCTTTTAGATCCAAATGCACCAGTCTGCGTAAAAAAGGCGTGAAATTTGTTGGTGTGGGGGATTAAAGTAGTTTTTACCTTTGTGTACCTAATGTCAGAGCATCCATTTTCTAACCTCACTTTTCACTTGTCAAAGTAAATAAACATGATCGGGGTCATAAAAAACGCGGGTCGGGGAACATCGCTTGAAAATCATCGAGCGACGTTTTTTGGTTTATTGCCAATAATAAAACAATGCCATTGGTAAATTTTATTACATTTAGTCCTGATAAAAGTGCTTTGTTTCATAAAACAAGTCGTTAAAATTAAATTAATTAAAAGAGGCAGTAAAATAAAATCACACTTTTCTAAATAAGTAGCCGTTTTAGTCGTATTCTAGAACGTGTTTGTGGTAGAAGAGCAAATACCTGTAAAATTTGTAACTTGTGAGTTATACAAATCGCGCAATCTTTCGTATTTTTACCCTTCTGAGTCCAAGACTTCCTTGAGAGTTGCTCTGGTTATCACGTGGTCGTCACATTTATACCAGTAATCTTGCAATTGGCGTACGTATGCGGTATAGTGACCTGCGTTTATTGAATTACCTAAGTGATTTATTACAGCGAATAGCGAGTATCTGTTGTCTGAAGGAAACGGCGATTCGTTCGTTGATCTGCTCATAAATGGAGTCATGTCTAACATTTCTGGAAACGATATGATGGTGGAAATTTTTTTCTCCATCTGAAACCCAAACGAAAAAGTGTTCAGTAATATATCAATAAAAAACACATTTAAATTTCAGGTCGATTAAATGTAAAGTTTGTAGAGTGGAAATACTATGAGAAGAACATGTTGAGTCATCACTCATCACAGTTACTTGGTTTTGGACTGGTGGTATACCATAAATATTTTTGCATACTCAGTCTAAATGGCCTCTATTTTAATTTTCAAATACCGACATTTCGGTTTTTTCCAATAAAAGACCTGTATTTTTTTTTATTGAATTTTGCTGCATTTTTTAAGAGAAACTCAGAAAGAGTGCGAATAAAAATTGATCGAAAGTTATTTTGACAGAACTTCCTCGTCCCTGAAGCGTAGTCCAACAAAATCTGCTCCTTTGAAAAATTATAAAATCAAATTTTGCGATTTTTTGTAATAACTTCTAGAATCAAAAAAATTGGAAACGACAACAGACTCAAAATATTTTGCACATTTTAGGTGGGATCTATCGGAAAAAAATTGGCATTAAGGTTTACTACATTCCTGACTGAATTTAAAAGTTAAATTGCAAATATTGTTACAAATTGTGACAAAAAAAAAACAAAAAAAAAACATTAAAAAGCGACAGAAAATGACACCAAAAAATATGATACATGTGACCACAAAAAAGACAAAAAATGACGAATGAAGACCAAAAAAAAAGGGTAGCAAAAATAGCAACAAAAAAGTGATATAAAAAAAACGCAACAAAAATACGATAAAAAACAAAAAGGACACAAAATAGAAACAAAAATGGCGACGAACAAAAACGACAAAACAAAAGCAATAAAAAAAGCCAAAAAAGGCCATCAAAAACATATTTCAAAAAAGGTCACAAAAATATGATTTAAAAAATGACGAGGAAAAACGGCCAAAAAAAGCTAGCAAAAAACAGCGACAAAAAAGTGATAAAAAAGCAACAAAAAAGCTATAAAAAATGGACAAAAAAAAACGGAAAGACGTGAAAATACCCTAAAAAAAGTCGAAAAATATGATGAACATGACGACGAAAAAAGGCCACATAAAAATATACATAATAAAAAAAACTGATGAGGAAAAACGGCTAAAAGAAGGTAGCAAAAAAACAGCGACAAAAAGTGATAAAAAAAAAACAACAAAAAAAGGCGATAAAGAAAACAAAATAAAAGGCGAGAAAAAACAAAAAAGGCTGTAAAACAAAAGCGATAAAAAATGAGCAAAAAATCGATAAGAACAATAAAAAAAGCGGAAAAAAAGTAAAAATACCCAAAAAAGGCGAAAAATATGATGAACATGACGACGAAAAAAGGCCACAAAAGGCCAAAAAAACAGCGACAAGAGGCCATCAAAAAATACTTGAAAAAAAAAGAAAACAAAAAAATTTGGAAAAAAATGAAAAGGAAAAAAGGCAAAACAAATGACAAACAAAAAAACGACAAAAAAGCAACAAAAAGACGAAATAAAGACGACAAAAAAACAAAACAAAAAAAGTAATAAAAGAGACCAAAAATGGACATAAAAAAATTCTTAAAAAAAAGGTTACAAAACAGTGATAAAAAATCGACCAAAAATAACTAAAAAAAGATGTCAAAAAAATATGATAAAAATTATTTAAAAAAAGTCAAAAAATATAGCAGTTAAGGGGGACAAAAAAACAGCAAAAGAGGTGATAGAAAAGATGACAAAGAAGGTGATAAAAAACAACAAATAATTGCGATAAAAATTTAAAAGGCCAGAAAGAAGGCGGTAAAAAATTGGACAAAAAACTCGACAAAGAAGGTAATAACAAAGTAGCAAAAATGGAACCAAAAACACCTCAAAAAATGAAAAATATGAGAAAAATAACGACGAAAAGGCCAAAAAAGGTGGCAAAAAAAATAACAAAAAATCCAAAAGGCCACAAAGGCGGCAAAAAAATTGGGCAAAAAAAAACTCGACAAAGGTAATAAAAATCGCAAAAAAGGCAACCAAAAACACCTCAAAAAGGTGACAAAAAAGCAACAAAAATCGACATAAAGGCGACAAAAAACAAAAAACAAGTAACAAAAAAAAGACCAAAAATGTGATAAAAAATGGCAAAAAATTCGACAAAAAAGTAACAAAATGCGACCAAAAATGGACGTCAAAAAATACCTCAAGAAAAAGGTCACAAAAATGTGATAAAATGACTATAAAAAAGTGATAAAAAAGTCAACAAAAATATCTAAAAAAAGATGACAAAAAAATATTATAAAAATGACAAAAAAAATAAAAAAAAGCAGAAAAAGGAGCTAAAAAAGCAGCAGAAAAAGGAGCTAAAAAGCAGCAAAAAAGGTGAAAAGATGTCAAATAAAGTGATAAAAAAACAACAAATAATTGCGATAAATATCCAAAAGGCCACAAAGAATGCATTAAAAAATTATAAAAGGAAAAACTGGACAAAGAAGGTAATAACAAAGTCGTAAAAAAGGCAACCAAAAACGCCTCAAAAAAGGTCATAAAAAATATGAGAAAAATAACGAAAAGGCCAAAAAAGGTAGCAAAAAAATTGCAAAAAAAAAACAAAAAGTAACCAAAACGGACATCAAAAAAATACCTTAAAAAAAGGTCACAAAAATGTGATAAAATGACTGCAAAAAAAAAAACGATAAAAAAAGTCGGCCAAAAATATGTAAAAAAAAAGATGACAAAAAAGCAGCGAAAGAGCTGATAGAAAAGATGACAAAAAAGGTGATAAAAAACAACAAATAATTGCGATAAAAATCCAAAACGCCATAAAGGCGGTAAAAAATTGGGCAAAAAAACTCGACAAAGAAGGTAATAAAAAATCGCAAAAGAGGCAACCAAAAACACCTGAAAAAAGTTCACAAAAAATATGAAAAAAAAATGATAAGGGTAAAAAGGCAAAAAAAAAGACAAGGAAGATCACAAAAAGCAATAACAAAAATCGAAATAACGGCGACAAAAAACAAAAACAAAGTAACAAAAAAGACCAAAAACGCGATAAAAAAGGCAAAACATTCGACAATACAAGCAACAAAAAGAGATCTAAAATTGACATCAAAACAAAACTTAAAAAAAGGTCACAAAAATCGTTACAAAAAAGCAATAAAAAATGTCGACAAAAAATATGATAAAAAAGATCAAAAACGATCAGAAAAGAGGAATAAAAAAAAAGCGAAAGAGGTAATACAAACAATAAGTAAATGGGATAAAAAACCAAAAGCCATAAAGAAGGCAGTAAAAAATTGGACAAAGAAGGTAATAAAAAGTCGCAAAAAAAGGCAACCAAAAACATCTCAAAAAAAGGTCGCAAAAATATGACAAAAACGGCGATTAAAAAAAAGACTACAAAACAAAGGCAATAAAAAAAAATTGACAAGACAAAAAGGCAATAAAATAAAACGAAAGAAAGCCAGCAAAAAATACCCCAAAAAAGCCACTAAAAATGTAATAAAACGACTACAAAAAAAAGCTACAAAAATACATTAAAAAAATTATAAAAAAAGACGACAAAAAAGTTAATAAAAGAAAGATAAAATGAAACGTCAAAAAAGACAACAAAGAAGGTGATAAAAAAGCAACAAATAATTGCGATAAAAATCCAAAATGCCGCAAAGAAGGCGGTAAAAAATCGGGCAAAACAAAACTCGACAAAGAAAGCAATAAAAAAAAAATCGCAAAAAAAGGGCAACCAAAAACACCCCAAAAAGGTAACAAAAAATATGAAGAAAAAAAAGGAAAAAAAGGTAAAAAAAAGAACGAACGTGACAAAAAAGCAACAACAAAAATTGAAATAGAGGCGACAAGAAACAAAAAGAAAAGTAAGAAAAAAAGACCAAAAATGCTATTAAAAATGGCAAACAATTCGACAAAAAAGCAACAAAAAGTGACCAAAAATTGACATAAAAAAATACCTTAAAAAAGATCATAAAAATGTGATAAAATTACTACAAAAAAAGCAATAAAAAAAATCGACCAAAAATATCTAAAAAAAGATGAAAAAAGATGGCAGACAAAGGGGACAAAAAGGCAGCAAAAGAGGTGATAGCAAAGATGACAAAAAATCCAAAAGGCCACAAAGAAGGCGGTAAAAAATTGGGCAAAAAAACTCGACAAAGGTAATAAAAATCGCAAAAAAGGCAACCAAAGACACCCCAAAAAAGGTCACAAAAAATACGAAAAAAAAAGCAAAAAAAAGACAACGAAGGTGACAAAAAAGCAACAACAAAACTCGAAATCGAGGCGACAAAAACAAAAAAAAAAGTATGAAAAAAGACCAAAAATGCGGTAAAAAGTGACAAAAAAAAAGACCAAAAATACCTAAAAAAAGATCATAAAAAAAGATATGCTAAAAATGACAAAAAAAAAGGTCAAAAACGATAGCAAAAAAGAAGGAACAGAGGTGATAAAAAAGATGATAAAGGTGATAAAAACAACAAGTAAATGCGCTAAAAAGCCAAAAGCCACAAGGAAGGCGATAAAAAATTGGACAAAGAAGGTAATAAAAGTCAACCAAAAACACCTCAAAAACAAGTCACAAAAAATATGACAGAAATAACGACGAAAAGACAAAAAAAGCGACAAAAAATAGAACAAAAACGGCGACTAAAAAGCAGAACAAAAGGCGGAAAAAAGACTACAAAACAAAGGCAAAAAAAAACGAAAGAAACCCTGCAAAATAGCCCACAAAAAGTCACAAAAAATGTGATAAAACGACTACAGAAAAGCGACAAAAATACTCAATAAAAAAGATAAAAACGATGACAAAAAAGTTAACAAAAAAAAGAATAAAATGAAACGTCAAAAAAAGACGACAAAGAAGGTGATAAAAAAGCAACAAATACAAGCAATAAAAAAAGCAACAGAAAATGCTACCAAATAACGCGTCAAAAAAATCGTAAAAAAAAAATAAAATTACTAAAAAAAAAACGACCAAAAAGAAGCGGATATTCAAAACGTACATTGAAAATTTGACAACAATCGGTCCGGTAGTTTTGGAGATTATCTGGACAGACGGAAACCGGGGGCCTATTATTTCGTCCTCTAGAGGTAATGGCACGTCCATAAAACATGGAACTAGCCATTCGTTGGATGGACTTAATTACAATACTTCCTTAGCTTACACTTGGGTAGTAAAAATCGAAGAAAATTGTAAAAATAGTTAAAAAAAAAACTAAGTTAAAAATAATTTTATCAAAACACCACTACTCTTTAACAATTTTGATACCTCTAGTAATTATAGTGACTCACCCAGTATATCCACATACAGAAAATTCGGTAGTTCTAAAAAGAACTAATTCAAATTAAATACGAAAAAAAGATGAAACATAGATGCTTTTATGTCTCCTGTGGCGTCTTATTTGTTGTGTTCTTCTCAAAGAATTTCCACTCTAGCGAAAAATGGCCATCCAGCATTTGTCATTCATTTTTAAAAATCACATAGATTATTGAAAGTTAATCAGCTATGTTTTTCTAGAAATTTTAGTGATCTTAGACACATTAAAATAATGAAAATAGTGACAACGTCACTTTTCTGTCAATGTTTTTTTACAATTTTGCAGTTTATTTTTAAAATAATAATGTTGGCAGTGCAGCTATTTGACATTTTATTTGACAGCTTGCACAGCCTGCTACAGGACTTTTTTTGATTAATCTAAGTTGCAGTTGTGTTTAATGGGTTGCATTAAAAAATTACCTCTTTCATATGTTGGAACCGTTTCAAGTGAAAACTAATAACAATAGGCAAAGTCTTCATTGTTAGTTGTTTCGTGGACTCCTGATATGACTGACAATTCGAACACATGATTTTCGCATTTTCCCCTAGGTGCTCGGCCCGCGTGAAGCGCTCCAGACAATCCACCAAGGACGAGGGTGGTCTTCCGCCCAAAGTAACAGGCCCTAAATCCAGCGAAAAATCCCAAATGGGGTCTATCGTTGTAGAAACGCCACTAACCAACAAGGACAACTTTACTCTAACTCTAGCGCCCCCAAAACCCACTTACTTGCACTTTTGACAAACCACGTCGCTCTGTAAGCCCCCGGTAAAAATCTGGTCGATGATACAAGGACACCGCGATATTTTCCCCAAATTGACCGACTTCAAGTTGGGCATCGTCTCAAGGCAGTGTCGATGCAGCACATCCAGTGTGGCTATGAAAAACTCGTGGGCGTCCTGCTGCTCATAGCCCGCTAAATGCCTCGCGTGCGTCCATATCAAGTGCAACAACTCGTGAAGCGCTAGAGGAACTCTCGTTCCATTGTAAAACTCCTTAAAACACACTTTCATAACCTAACCTAAAAGCCACCCAAACTTGCCTGGAACAACTTGGACACCTCGCACACGAGGCACGTGCCCGGAACCCCCTTGCACTTGTGTCTCTCAGTCAGAAAGTAGTCCCTCAGCAAGGGCGTGTGCATCAGCGCTTGCACTATACAGTTCATAAAGCACGTCGAGCCCAAGTTGAGCAGCCCCCGCAGGCCGATCGTGGACTCGGGCGTGATGCAGATTTTTTTCGTTTTGGTCTTTAAGTACTCGCGCTCGTCGGCGGTGGGGTTCCAGGAGTCGATCTCGAACAGGCGCTTCTTGAACGTCTTGGACTTCATCTTGTTGTCCATGGCGATGGCGTCGATCTCCGAGTCGTAGATGTAGTCGTGGCACTGGTTGCAGTGCATCTGGCCGTAGGTGAGGTCCACGGACATGGAATGCTTCTGGGCTTTGGCGTGCTCCCGGATGTGCCTGTGGCACCCGAAGAACACGCACTCGAGGCAGGCGTGGAGGAAGGGGCCCCTTTTTTTGCACACTCGGCAGCGGCTGTTGCCCAACTACGAGAGTTTGTTTGACGTTTTCGTAAACAAATGTCTTCACGTACCTTTGTTTTGAGGCTTTTTGATGTGGAGTTGACCACGAATACTGCATGGATCCATTTGAATGTGTTTTTGTTTTTGCTGGTTTTCTTGTAGGTTTGAAGGTGTTGACATCCGATTATGCTCATTTTGGGGGGGTGGGGCGGAGAGTAATCTGGGCCTTTTTTGTCTTTCGAGTATTTTTTATTGCCCATCAACGATTTTGATTACATATTTTGCGGCGTTGCCAAATTGCGCACCCACCTGAGATTTTTACGACCGTTCAAGTCATAAATTTTTTCACTATTCAGCTGTATGTTTGTTCTGAAAATAATGAAAAACAAAATTTGCAGTTGTTCGATTGGATTTAAACTGGAAGGGAAATTTTTTGAGTTGCTGCCGAACACAACACATTCGTGCGGTTGGTATCACTGATTTTTGTTGACACATGTTCTGGCTCCACGGGTCAAAATAAAATGGAAGTTGAGGTCAATCTTAACCAAAACCATGAATAAAAAGTTCCAACTTGGCCAAAACTAATAATAATATTAATAATAAATTAAGTTAATTAAATACCATCATATTTTATGTAAAATTTTATTAAGTCAATTCAAATTTTGGTCACCAATTCAATAGCTGCCAACTTCCAACTGGTTTTTAGTTGTCATTTGTTTAGTTTGGCTTCTTACTCAAAACACTATATCTCAAAATAAAGCAACAAAAACAGGTACTAAAAGACAAAAAGCGCGAAAAATGCCTTAAAAATAGTAAAAAATTGGTCGAATGTTATTTCAATAGAACTTCCCTCGCCCCTGAAGTCCAGCCAAATAATCCCACTTCATTTTTCGATTTGCTTTTTTTATGGTTTTCAAGTTTTCAATTTTTAATTTTTCTACACAATTTTTCGTTTCAGTTTTTTATTTTCTTTAACTACGTATATAAAGAAAAAAAACAGAGATTAAGCCCCGCCCGCCCGCCCCAATTTCATTTGTGCTCAGTTTTTCATTCCTAATCATACCGAAGGGCGGAGTTTAATTGTAACATCAATATTTCTCTAAAAAATTCTACCCTTTTAAAAACGTATTTCAGATGATAATTTCTTGTCGCGAAATGAGGATTTTGCAGCTAAACTCCGCCCTTCAACTCACGATGAATAAAGCATTCATCACAATTGAGAACGGGTGGGTGGGCGGGGCTTATATTTTGTCCATTGTTTCTTAATATACGAAGTCTTCTTTTCCCAACAAGAAACTGAAAACATGTTTAACTTTCCCGTTCTTGAAAGAAAACTCTAAATATTAAAAAACAAAACACAGATAACGTTATTATACCGTGCAATTGTTTTTGCGAAGATTTGAACGTTTAGCGAAAAAACTGAAACTCATTTTAAAATACGGTTCATTGAGATGACGTCATCAAACTGTTGGTGGGGATGATTAGCCAAATTTTGGCTAGCATTTAACCATCTACATACATGATATTTCTAACATACATACAAAATTTGCCAACAATCGATCCAGTAGTTTCGGAGATTACGTGTCTAATAAAAATGGATACAGATAGACAAACAGACAGACAGACAGACGGAAACGGGACACTACTTTTTTCGTACTGTAGGGGTCATGAAATGTCGAGAAAACATAAAAGTGCCAATTCATCCGATGGACTCGATTACTGTGTTACGCTCGGGAAGTAAAAACGCAACAAAACAAAAGGTGATAATAAGAAGACGACAAAAAATACCGAAAAAAAAAATACGATAAAAAAAATTGATTAAAAAACTCTATATAAAAGCCATCAAAAATACCTCAAGACCTTTATTTTCTTAGAGAGTATGTCATTTGTCAAAATCGGTCTTATTTTAGCAGGTATACTAGCCCCGCCCACCCGCCTTCTTATTTTCTTAGAGGGTATATCATTTGCCAAAATCAGTTTTATCGTAGCAGGTACTACCCCCGCCCACCCGCCCTCACTTTTCTTGGAGGGTATCTCATTTATCAAAATCAGTCTAATCTTGGCAGCTACTAGCCCCGCCCACCCAACCTCTATTTCATTAGATGGTATGTCATTTGCCAAAATCAGTTTTATCTTAGCAAGTAGTAGCCCCGCCCACCCGCCCTTTATTTTCTTAGAGGGTACGTCATCTGCCAAAACCAGTCTTATCTTCGCAAGGACTAGCCCCACCCACCTTTTATTTTCTTAGAGGGTATGTCATTTGCCATCAATCTTATCTTGGTAGGGACTAGCACCGCCCATCCTTTATCTTCTTAGAGGGTATGTCATTTGCCAAAATCAGTTTTATCTTAGCAAGTATTTGCCCCGCCCACCCGCCCTTTGTTTTCTTACAGGGTACGTCATCTGCCAAAATCAGTCTTATCTTGGTAAGGACTAGCCCCGCCTATTCTTTATTTTCTCAGAGGGTATATCATTTGCCAAAATCAGTCTTGTCTTGACAAGTACTAGCCCCGCCCACCCACCCATCCCTTATTTTCTTAGAGGGTATGTCATTTGCCAAAATCAGTCTTATTTTGGCAAGGACTAGCCCCACCCACCTTTTATGTTCTTAGAGGGTATGTCATTTGCCATCAATCTTATCTTGGTAAAGACTAGCTCCACCCACCTTTTATTTTCTTAGAGGGTATGTCATTTGCCATCAATCTTATCTTGGTAAGAACTAGCCTCGCCCATCGTTTATTTTCTTAGAGGGTATGTCATTTGCCAAAATCAGTTTTATCTCAGCAAGTATTAGCCCCGCCCACCCGCCCTTTATTTTCTTAGAAGGTACGTCATCTGCCAAAATCAAGCTTATCTTGGCAAGGACTAGCCCCACCCACCTTTTATGTTCTTAGAGGGTATGTCATTTGCCATCAATCTTATCTTGGTAAGGACTAGCCCCGCCCATCCTTTATTTTCTTAGAGGGTATGTCATTTGCCAAAATCAGTTTTATCTTAGCAAGTATTTGCCCCGCCCACCCGCCCTTTATTTTCTTACAGGGTACGTCATCTGCCAAAAACAGTCTTATCTTGGCAAGGACTAGCCCCGCCCATCCTTTATTTTCTCAGAGGATATATCATTTGCAAGATCAGTCTTATCTTGGCAAGTACTAGCCCCGCCCACCCACCCATCCTTTATTTTCTTAAAAGGTATATCATCTGCCAAAATCAGTCTTATTTTGGCGGGGACTACTTGTTCTATGTGGTGCATTTTATTTGAAACGCACTGTATGATAAAACAGCGACAAGAAAAAAGGACAAAAAAAGGTAGCAAAAAAGCGACAATAAGACCACAAAAAATAGATAAAAAACAATAAAGGGGGTAATAAAAAATGCTTTAAAAAAACGATAAAAAAATCGTAACAAAAAAGCGATGAAACGGAAAGAAAAATGATAAAAAAAGGCCATCAGAAATGTTTCAAAAAAGATCGCAAAAAAAGAAACAGAAAAAAAGGCGATAAAAAACTGGGCAAAAATACTCGACAAAAAAGGGCGACTAAAGGTCACAAAATATGACAAAAATTACAAAAAAAGGAACAAAAAACGGTAAAAAAGGACACTAAAATATTTCCAAAAAAAGGTCACAAAAATATGACGGTAGTAAAAAATGCCCCAAAAAAGTGACAAAAGTGATAAAAAGATCAAAGGTCACCAAAAAATTGTTCAAAAAAAGGTTACGAAAAAAAAAAACAAAAAATGGGACAAAAATGGCTATGCAAAGGCAGTTTGAAAAAAACAAAGAACGACACAAAATTGGGCAAGAAAAAACTTGCCAAAAATACCTTAAAAAGGTCACAAAAATGTACTGAAAATGGTAACAAAAAACAATGGAAAAAAAGACGACAAAGAAGGTGATAAAGAAGCAACAAAAAAGGTGAAAATGCGTCAAAAAAATGTTTCAAGAAAAAGCAACAAAATTGTGTCAAAAAAGATCACAAAAACATTAAAATTACAAAAAAGAAGCAAAATTTCCGGTAAAAAGACACCAAAATGCTTCCAAAAAAGGTCACAAAAGATCTGATATAATGACGGTAGCAAAAAGTCCCAAAAAAGTGTCAAAAACGATAAAAACGGTGATAAAAAAGCTACAAAAACGCGATTAAGAAGAGCAAAAAAACATGAAGGTTACCAAAAAATTCGTCAAAAAAGGTCACCAAAAAATGAAACAAAAATATGTGACAAAAAATACCGACAAAAAAAAAGCGATAAAAAAAATTGTGCAAAAATACTCGAAAAAGGGTACCAAAAATACCTCAAAAAAGGTCACAAAAATATGATAAAAATTACAAAAAAAAAAAATAAATAAAAAAAATTTAAAAGGGAACACCAAAAATACTTCAAGAAATGGTTACAAAAAATATGAGAAAAATGGTAAAAAAAGGCCCAAAACAGTGACAAAAAATACGACAAATTAAAAAAGCAAACAAAGGTCACAAAGAAGGGCACCAAAGAATTTGTCAGCAAGTCATAAAAAAAAGAAAAAAAATGCGGCAAAAAAATTGGCGACGAAAAAACGATAAGAAAAAATAAATAAAAGGCAAAAAAAACTCGCCAAAAAAAGCGGACAACACTAAAAATACCTTCAAAAAAATCACAAAAATATGATGAAAATAATAACAAAAAACAATGGAAAAAAACCGACAAAGAAGGTGATAAACAAGCAACAAAAAAGGTGAAAATGCGTCAAAAAAATGTTTCAAGAAAAAGCAACAAAAGTGTGTCAAAAAAGGTCACAGAAAAGAAACAAAAAACGTTACAAAAAGGCGATAAAAAATTGGATAAAAAACTCGATAAAAAAGCCACCAAAGAATACCTCAAGAAAGATCACAAAAATATGGTTAAAATGAACATAAAAAAGACGAACAAAAATCGGCAAAAAAAATACCTCAAAAAAGAATTATGAAAAATATGATAAAACAACGATGACAAAAAAGGTCAAGAAAGGTAGCAAAAAAGTGACAAATAAGACCACACAAAAACGACAAAGAAGGTAATAAAAAATGCGTTAAAAATTGATATAAAGATTCGCAACAAAAAAAAAATTATACAACAGAAACAAAAAAAGACGACAAAAAAGGCCACCAAAAAGTATTTCAAAAAAGGTCACAAAAACATTAAAATTACAAAAAAGGAGCAAAATTTCCGGTAAAAAAGACACCAAAATGCTTCCAAAAAAGGTCACAAAAATCTGATAAAAATGACGGTAGCAAAAAGTCCCAAAAAAGTGTCAAAAAACGATTAAAAAGCAAAAAAACATGAAGGTTACCAAAAAAATTCGTCAAAAAAGGTCACCAAAAAATGAAACAAAAATATGTGACAAAAAATACCGACAAAAAAAGGCGATAAAAAAATTGTGCAAAAATATTCGAAAAAAGGTACCAAAAATACCTCAAAAAAGGTCACAAAAATATGATAAAAATAACAAAATAAAATAAAAAAAATGTAAAAGGGAACACCAAAACTACTTCAAGAAATGGTTACAAAAAATATGATAAAAATGACGGTAAAAAAAGGCCCAAAAAAGTGACAAAAAATACGACAAATTAAAAAAACAAACAAAGGTCACAAAGAAGGACACCAAAGAATTTGTCAGAAAAAGTCACCAAAAAAAAAAAGAAAAAAAAAATGCGCCAAAAAATCACAAAAATATGATGAAAATGGTGGCAAACAACAGTGAAAAAAAGAGCCATCAAAGAAGGATACAAATAAGCAACAAAAAAAGGGAAAAAAAAAACGTCAAAAATGGCCCAAGCAAGTCATCAAAAGCAACAAAAGTAAGAACACCAAAAATGCGTCAAGAAAGGTCACAGAAAAGAAATAGAAAATGTGACCAAAAGGTCTATAAAAAAAATGGGCAAAAATTTCGCCTAAATATACTTCAAAAAAAGCTCACAAAAAATAATTATTAAAAATTATGACAAGAAAGGCAAAAAAGTATCCAAAAAGTTTCAAAAAGAAAAAAGACAAAAAATTTTACGAACAAGGTCATCAAAAAAGAAACAAAAAATGGCGCCGAAAAAAGGCAACATAAAACGATGATTAAAAATTTTGCAAAAATAGAATAGAAAAAATCCGATTTCATAGCGAATATTTCGAAATAGAGGGTCGAGACTGTGTATACGCTATATTTTTGGAAACAGCACGTCGAGATCTATATCCCTGAATTTTTTGAGAATATTTAAACAACTTTTTAAAAAATAAAACTTTTCACTGTCAATTTCAATTTGTATATTAATTCTTCCTGATACAGTGTTATTCACATTTGTTTATTATGTTTTGCCTATTATATATTTTTCATGGTCAAACCAGACCTAGTTTTTTTCAAAAAAAAAAGAAAACAAAGTCTTGCGGCATGGTAGAAGGAGACATGGTATAGGCATACGCATCGGGTGTGACGTCAGGTGGGGTGAAATTAGCGCGAAATTTAAAATACAATTCGTTATCCGACAACTAATTGACATATTGGACAGAGCAATGACAACTCAAGCTGAAATTCCCTAGACTTCCCTAGCGAAGCTCACAAGAGTCACAAGGTCGTTGATGCCACCTAACGTCACAAATGGATGCGCAGACCATTTTTAAATTGGTACATCGGATGCCTATACCATGTCTCCTTCTACCATGGTCTTGCGGTAGCAGAGGCGGTTAGTACTGAGTGATTAATAAGTTTGGCATCGCCGCAAAAAAATCAACGCACGCGTTTACTTGTTTATTTTGACGCATTAATCATTGCGCTGCCAACATGACCACAAAAAATTCGTAGCTGTTCAAAAATACTCGTCCCTTTGGAGCCACAAACGTAACGTATTTCTCCTTTAAGTGAAAAATTAGCCTCACTTTAATAAATCCCAAAACGGCTTGCTTACTAGTGACATTTGTCAGATCTCATTTACATTTTTTTATGTTGGCTACGTCAGAAAACAGCTGTTTAATTATTCAAGTGTTCAAACACCACTTTTCGTTTAAAACGTTTAAAAAAATAAGCAACTATCGTGCGCACTGAACTTTTAAATAAATTTAAATACACTTTGATAAAATCCAGGCTTAAAACTTAAAATTGTTATTAGCAGAAATGCCTCCCACAAATCAATAAAACATTGCCAACAGTAACGAGCTTTCACTAATTGGTAATTTTATGGCTTGAACAATAGAACAAACCCTCGCGTGTTTTTCCATGCATTAACAACGCAAAAATAAAAATGATTTACGACTTGTGTCACAGCAATTGTAAGTGAGGTTATATTTCCAGTCGTCACCGCCTCCAGTCCACCTCCACCGTGCATCCTTTCTTATCTCGCGCCAACCGACAAAGACAACCGATTCCGCAAGTCGCGTCATTTTTTTGACATTTTTGACATTTCACACTCACCTGCCACGATGGCTTCGTCGCCGAAAGATAAAAACACAAGTAAAAACGAAAAATCGGTAAATGTGGACATAACGAAAGCCAACATGTCGAACTCCACCCCCAAAAACGTAAGTCCCGCAAAAATTCACGATTTTTTTTTTCAATAGTGGCTTGTAGAATCAGTTGGGCGAAATAGCAATCGAAGCGTCTGAAATCGTGAGCAGATTGGAGCAGGTCGTCGAGGGCTTGAGTCTGGCGGATGCGGCGTACAATCAACCCACTGTGTTTTTGGGGTTGGACCAGAAGCGTACCGAGGAAATCATACAGATTATACAGGGTCTTATTAGTGTAGATGAGGACGGGGAACCTTTGAATTTTCACACTTTGGATAATGTGGCGAAGTTGGTGATGGTCTCACACTGCGTCGCAGCGTACTGCAGTGGGTTAGACAGGCCCATTATGCAGAGGTTAAGTACCAGGTTTACCACGGATACCACCCGGTGGATCAGCCAGATATTTGGGTGAGTTGGTGTTAGTGTCACCTGGTGGATAATAAATAATACTACAACTGGCCTGTCAATTGTCAAAATGATTTTTTCTAGTGTTTGAAAAATTGTATTATTAATTTAAGAAACAATGTTAGTGGGATTTTTAATTCACTATTGTACTTAATCCCCTCTAGACAGTTGATGACATCATCTCATTAACTTTTGAGATGTTTGTTAACAATTCATAGAGATGTTTTTTTATTACTTCTAGAGTGTAAGCCAATGTATCAGTTTTTATTAGATATATAATTTCTTGAACAACTAGACTGATTGTTGCCAACCAAAATTTGGCCAAGCATTCCCACCACCAATGGGATGGCGTCATGCCCAAAATTTACAATACATTTTTTTAATTTTATAAAATAAGATGCGCCTGCACTTGTGATGTATGAGTCCGTTTGAGTTTTCACCCTAGACACTTAGATTTTTGGAAAAAAAAATCAAAATTTTATATAAACATGTTTGAAATTGCAAAACTGAATGCTTTGAAATTTCGCAAACATTTTAAGGTTGTGGTAATCGTGAAATTGTTAATACAAATTTATCTTTTATCCCCTCCCAAAAAATTGATGACGTCATCTCAAAATTTTTGAACTTTAATTTTTTCAATTTTTCGATATTGCAATTTTTGTTTTTTTAATTTTTTTTTAAAATTTTTATTTTTCATTTTCCTCTTTTCCTTTTATTTTTCAGTGTTTCGACTTTATAATTTTTCGTCTATTCAGTTTGTCAAATGTACAATCTTTCCAATTTTTAGATTCATTTTACAATTTTTCAATTTTTTTAAATTTTTGTTTCGAAAAGTTGAAAAATCGAAAAACTAAAAAATCGGGAAAATATTGAAAAATCGAAAAATTGTAAATCGAAGATCTGAAGAAACGAAAAATTGAAATTGAAAAATATAAAACAGAAAAAAAAATTGAAAAATGCAAAAATTGAAAAATTTCATATTCAAAAAAAAAGTAAAATATGACAATAATGAAAAAACGACAAATTGAAAAAATCAAGAAAAATTGAAGAAATGAAAAATTAAAGAATCGAAAAACTGAAAGATAGAAATTGAAAACTAGAGAAACTTTAAATCGAAAAATTGTAAAATCATAAATATTGAAGAAACAACAAAATGAAAAATTCAATTTTTTCCAATTTTTGATTCGATAAGTTTAAAGATGGAGAAATTGTAAAATCGAAGAACTAAAAAATCGGGAAAATATTGAAAAATCGAAAAATTGTAAATCGAAGATCTGAAGAAACGAAAAATTGAAACTGAAAAATATAAAATAGAAAAAAAAAAAAATAAAAATAAATTGAAAAATGCAAAAATTGAAAAATTTCTTATTGAAAAAAAAATTGTAAAATATGACGATAATGAAAAAACGACAAATTAAAAAAATCAAGAAAAATTGAAGAAATGAAAAATTAAAGAATCGAAAAACTGAAAAATAGAAATTGAAAACTAGAGAAACCTTAAATCGAAAAATTGTAAAATCATAAATATTGAAGAAACAACAAAATGAAAAATTCAAAGTTTTCATTTTAAACTTTTTGGTTTATTCATTTTTGATTTTTCATTTTAAAATTTGCAATTTTTCCAATTTTTGGTTCGATAAGTTAAAGATGGAGAAATTGTAAAATCGAAGAACTAAAAAATCGGGAAAATATTGAAAAATCGAAAAATTGTAAATCGAAGATCTGAAGAAACGAAAAATTGAAACTGAAAAATATAAAATAGAAAAAATAAAATAAAAATAAATTGAAAAATGCAAAAATTGAAAAATTTCTTATTGAAAAAAAAATTGTAAAATATGACGATAATGAAAAAACGACAAATTGAAAAAATCAAGAAAAATTGAAGAAATGAAAAATTAAAGAATCGAAAAACTGAAAAATAGAAATTGAAAACTAGAGAAACTTTAAATCGAAAAGTTGTAAAATCATAAATATTGAAGAAACAACAAAATGAAAAATTCAAAGTTTTCATTTTAAACTTTTTGGTTTTTTCATTTTTGATTTTTCATTTTAAAATTTGCAATATTTCCAATTTTTGTTTCTATAAGTTTAAAGATGGAGAAATTGTAAAATCGAAGAACAAAAAAATCGGGAAAATATTGAAAAATCGAAAAATTGTAAATCGAAGATCTGAAGAAACGAAAAATTGAAACTGAAAAATATAAAATAGAAAAAAAAAATTGAAAAATACAAAAATTGAAAAATTTCATATTGAAAAAAAATTGTAAAATATGACGATAATGAAAAAACGACAAATTGAAAAAATCAAGAAAAATTGAAGAAATGAAAAATTAAAGAATCGAGAAACTGAAAAATAGAAATTGAAAACTAGAGAAACTTTAAATCGAAAAGTTGTAAAATCATAAATATTGAAGAAACAACAAAATGAAAAATTCAAAGTTTTCATTTTAAAGTTTTTGGTTTATTCATTTTTGATTTTTCATTTTAAAATTTGCAATTTTTCCAATTTTGGTTCGATGAGTTTAAAGATGGAGAAATTGTAAAATCGAAGAACTAAAAAATCGGGAAAATATTGAAAAATCGAAAAATTGTAAGTCGAAGATCTGAAGAAACGAAAAATTGAAACTGAAAAATATAAAATAGAAAAAAAAAATAAAAATAAATTGAAAAATGCAAAAATTGAAAAATTTCTTATTGAAAAAAAATTGTAAAATATGACGATAATGAAAAAACGACAAATTGAAAAAATCAAGAAAAATTGAAGAAATGAAAAATTAAAGAATCGAAAAACTGAAAAATAGAAATTGAAAACTAGAGAAACTTTAAATCGAAAAGTTGTAAAATCATAAATATTGAAGAAACAACAAAATGAAAAATTCAAAGTTTTCATTTTAAAATTTCCAATTTTTTTCAATTTTTGATTCGATAAGTTTAAAGATGGAGAAATTGTAAAAAAATCAAGAAAAGATCGAAATGAAAAATTGAAAATCGAAAAATTGAAGAAATGAAAAATTAAAGAATCGAAAAACTGAAAAATAGAAATTGAAAACTAGAGAAACTTTAAATCGAAAAGTTGTAAAATCATAAATATTGAAGAAACAACAAAATGAAAAATTCAAGTTTTCATTTTAAACTTTTTGGTTTTTTCATTTTTGATTTTTCATTTTAAAATTTGCAATATTTCCAATTTTTGTTTCTATAAGTTTAAAGATGGAGAAATTGTAAAATCGAAGAACAAAAAAATCGGGAAAATATTGAAAAATCGAAAAATTGTAAATCGAAGATCTGAAGAAACGAAAAATTGAAACTGAAAAATATAAAATAGAAAAAAAAAATTGAAAAATACAAAAATTGAAAAATTTCATATTGAAAAAAAATTGTAAAATATGACGATAATGAAAAAACGACAAATTGAAAAAATCAAGAAAAATTGAAGAAATGAAAAATTAAAGAATCGAGAAACTGAAAAATAGAAATTGAAAACTAGAGAAACTTTAAATCGAAAAGTTGTAAAATCATAAATATTGAAGAAACAACAAAATGAAAAATTCAAAGTTTTCATTTTAAAGTTTTTGGTTTATTCATTTTTGATTTTTCATTTTAAAATTTGCAATTTTTCCAATTTTGGTTCGATGAGTTTAAAGATGGAGAAATTGTAAAATCGAAGAACTAAAAAATCGGGAAAATATTGAAAAATCGAAAAATTGTAAATCGAAGATCTGAAGAAACGAAAAATTGAAACTGAAAAATATAAAATAGAAAAAAAAAATAAAAATAAATTGAAAAATGCAAAAATTGAAAAATTTCTTATTGAAAAAAAATTGTAAAATATGACGATAATGAAAAAACGACAAATTGAAAAAATCAAGAAAAATTGAAGAAATGAAAAATTAAAGAATCGAAAAACTGAAAAATAGAAATTGAAAACTAGAGAAACTTTAAATCGAAAAGTTGTAAAATCATAAATATTGAAGAAACAACAAAATGAAAAATTCAAAGTTTTCATTTTAAACTTTTTGGTTTTTTCATTTTTGATTTTTCATTTTAAAATTTGCAATTTTTCCAATTTTTGTTTCTATAAGTTTAAAGATGGAGAAATTGTAAAATCGAAGAACTAAAAAATCGGGAAAATATTGAAAAATCGAAAAATTGTAAATCGAAGATCTGAAGAAACGAAAAATTGAAACTGAAAATATAAAATAGAAAAAAAAAAATTAAAAAAAAGAAAAATGCAAAAATTGAAGAAATGAAAAATTAAAGAATCGAAAAACTGAAAAATAGAAATTGAAAACTAGAGAAACCTTAAATCGAAAAATTGTAAAATCATAAATATTGAAGAAACAACAAAATGAAAAATTCAAAGTTTTCATTTTAAAATTTGCAATTTTTTTCAATTTTTGATTCGATAAGTTTAAAGATGGAGAAATTGTAAAAAAATCAAGAAAAGATCGAAATGAAAAATTGAAAATCGAAAAATTGAAGAAATGAAAAATTAAAGAATCGAAAAACTGAAAAATAGAAATTGAAAACTAGAGAAACTTTAAATCGAAAAATTGTAAAATCATAAATATTGAAGAAACAACAAAATGAAAAATTCAAAGTTTTCATTTTAAACTTTTTGGTTTATTCATTTTTGATTTTTTATTTTAAAATTTGCGATTTTTCCAATTTTTGATTCGATAAGTTTAAAGATGGAGAAATTGTAAAATCGAAGAACTAAAAAATGGGGAAAATATTGAAAAATCGAAAAATTGTAAATCGAAGATCTGAAGAAACGAAAAATTGAAACTGAAAAATACAACATAGAAAAAAAAATTAAAAAAAATGAAAAATGCAAAAATTGAAAAATTTCATATTGAAAAAAAATTGTAAAATCTGACGATAATGAAAAAACGACAAATTGAAAAAATCAAGAAAAAATCGAAATGAAAAATTGAAAATCGAAAAATTGAAGAAATGAAAAATTAAAGAATCGAAAAACTGAAAAATAGAAATTGAAAACT